TACCGTCACGTTATTTTAGCTCCAGGAAAACAGCTAGCTTGTTCTAGAATATCGTGACGTAGCGTCATAGCAGAATTTGCAGGGCAACTAGTCTCGGTCTCGCAATTTAAGAACTCAAGATGTCTAAGGCTCATCAAAGAAAAACGCTAGTCTTGCCTTCTCGCAAAGTCTCGCATTTACCATTCGTCACCCCACAGAGTGAAGACTGGAAACAAAAAACTTGATTCAGTTTTACGCGTAATTATCGTAGAACAAAGCCTAATACAACTTCGCAATAGTGACACGTAAACGTAGCATTTGTGAGGAGTGTTTACAGGACCGATTTAAAAAAAGTTAAACGATAACTAATAGTATAGGAGTTAAACAAATTTCTCTTCAGAACTGGTATCTTGCACTTCCTCCTTTTTACACCATTTTGGTGTAAATTGTGACGTTTAAAACACCATCAGTCCTGACACATAATGGACGCAGAAAATCAAATGACAAGAAATCAGTTTTTAACGGCATAACGCCAAATCTATCCCATTTGAATCACAAATACTTCCAAGCAGGATCAAGCATGCTAAACTATCAAAAATTAGGCAGCCTGCTTCAGCTAAGTTAAACTTCTGCGCAAACATACAGAAGTCTTCTTCTTACGTCACATTAAATCTGATTTTATCGCATTATTTTGTTAATTAATGTGTTACAATCACCAATTATCAAGTTGTCGTGATATGTTTAGAAAAAACTATGGCAGTCTTGAGTAGTGCATGCATAGCAGATCCAAGGGTGATCAAATGAAAGAGGCGAAATGGTGGGATGGGATTGTACAAAGTGAGATGGCTCTTTCTTGCTCAATGCTTGACAAAGTCAGGGAAGAGAAATTGGGCCCCCTCTTGCTTTAATGAAAACGGTGTGGTGATTCTTGGCTAGATATTAGATTATAAATATACATCTTCAAGTTGTCGTGATATGTTTAGAAAAAAAACTATGGCAGTCTTGAGTAGTGCATGTAAAGCAGATCCAAGGGTGATCAAATGGAAGAGGTGGGGGGGGGGGGGTGGTACAAAGTGAGATGGTTTTTTCTTGCTCAATTCTTGACAAAAGATGGGGAAGAGAATTTGGGCCCCTTCTTGCTGTAACGAAAAGGGTGTGGCAATTTTGGTTAGATATTAGATTATAGACAGACACCTTTTACATGTTAAACATAATGATGTCAAATAAAGGAGCATGATCATTTGTATTGATATACCTGTGTTGGAGAGCCTCACTGTACACATTTTGAAATCAGATAATGCTTCATTTATTCAGTACAAGTTCCATGCGTTTAGCCTTGATTTCCGCCGCTCTCTTGGTTCTGATCCCTGTGGAGTGTGTGCTCCTTTCCCAAACAACATCTGGTAATTGAGCCTAATGTGCATTACATTTCATGCTGAGCATGACATCAGAACAGGGCCAGAGAAGTTTGAAATAAAGCCAATCCGGACATTGAATGGTTACACTGTCAATATTAGCATGAAAGCAGGAAATCCAGTCACACTAGCTCAGGACAATTGCACTGTCAAAAATGTTAAGTCAAAATGTTTGTTAGGTGAAACTAGAGTTTGTCTAGCAGGACATATGGTCTTATGGTGTAATGCTTTGACTCTTAAGAACCATTTCAAAATGTTTTTACTTGATGTCAAGAAGGGTAACATCCACAATGTAATGTCCAGAACATTGTTTTGCTGCCATTATTTGGAAAATCTTGCAGTTTACCAGAGATTTCTTGTTATCAAAATGTTTATTTCTTCTTTCTCCACAAAAATATTATCGCTTGAAATTATATCTTTGACTTCCTTAGCACCAAGTTTGAGAAAATCCTCGGATAGCGTGACCTCCTGAAAATGTTTGTCAAGAAATACACGGCTCGCTTGAGCAAGCCTTTCACAGTTATAACGCTCAGCAAAATCAAGATAAAAAAGGCAGTTAGAGACATCAACGTTAGATACTAACTCTTCTGACGCCATTAACTTCGCCTCGGGGATAAGAAAATAATCTGCTGATATTAAAATTTCTTCGGCGTTACGTTGCGTGACATCGATGACGCCAGTGTAAAGGTAAGTCAATAGTAGGTCAATCACATTTGCAGAGACTTCCAGTGCCTCAAGGTTAACAGTTTCAGACGTCTTTTCTCTCATGTCACTAGTGAATAGTTTGTAAAAATAGGGACAGCTCACAGCCAGCACATTTCGGTGGGCGAGAAATGTCTCCCCACCAGCGAAAAGTGTGACATCACACAGGACTTTCTGTTTTCTCAAATCGTTAAGTTTCGCCGTCAACTCTAGGCAGTACCTGTTTTTTTCTGTTGTCTCACTCATTCTTCATTCAGGAGAGATTAAATTATCCACCAAAAAGGAAACGTCTCGAAAAAATATAAACAATCTTGCCTGTCACAAATCTCTCTGTCGGTGTTGAGCATTATATCCCAGCACCCTTTTCGCGACGAGCACGACGTTCCCGAACGTTTTCCCGTCGTTCTTTGCTGTCACTTTTTTCCGCCATTTTAGTTGATTTCACTGCTGTTCTTGAACATTACCTTGGTCAAAACGGATTGAAAATGGCGTACAAAGGACAGAAAGTGCAAAAAGTCATGGTGCAGCCTATTGTATCCTTTTTAATGGTAGTGAAGGCGCTTTTCTTCCCGCTACAAAGCGTTCAAATGGCGAGCCATCGGAGCACGTGTTTGGTTTGACATTAGCTTTGCATTAACTATCTTAATTTACGTTTTGTTACTGGAACGACTGCGAAGCATTTCAAGGCTTGCATGATATTGTTATCTTCTTTGCATTGTTTATTTGTAGTAGAACGCTTATCGTGTGTTTTAATTTAACACCTTTCAGTTTGAATGTTTGCCTCATGAAACTACAAAGCAAATGTTTGTAGCATAAGTAACCTCTTTTCACTGGTATTACACCAGTTTCTACATGTACATACTTTTAAGTTTGAAGTGATATTCTTAGGTCTTTGCTAGTCAGCATTCTCCATTTTGATTCTTGAATTACGATTCTATGCTGTGTACTGTATGACCTGTATAGATTTCCAATCAATTTTGATTGGAAATCATTTGTGTGGATTGTTCCTTAACTTTTGCCTCAATAGAATTTGATCTTTAGGTATTTGCAGAATGTAAGTAGTGTTTGATTGTACTGAGTTGTTCCAATCATTTTATTAACCATCCATTTATAACCCAAGTGATAGTACGTTGTTAAAACAGTAATGTTAAAATAAATGTAGTGAATTGAAAAACTTCATTACCATGCTCTTGTATTTGACAGCAGTTAGAATTGTTGCAGTTGTTTTTTAGAAATTACACATGTTGTCAACATATTTAATATGTTCATTCAGGGGCTTCCTTAAGGGCCGGGTACCGGGCAAATTGACTGGCTGTGAAGACGATTTTTCCTAGCTAGTTTGACCACCTAGTGAAAAGCTTTTCTTAAAAAGAATTTCAGATCAAATAGTTTTGCCCGCCTGTGAAAACCAGTTAACCTCCTGCTGAAAATGTTATAGACCGCTGTCTGTTCAATGAGTATTGTGGGAGATATACATGTGTTAGGAGTTACAGGTATCCCCTCAGTACCTAATAATATTAAATTGTCTGTGCAAGCTATTAAAGTTCTGGGAGCCAAGGTTACATGTATTGGAGTAGCATGGCTGTACCATGCTACTTGAAAAAAGCAATGACAGTTGTAGTTTTGCTTCATTGAACCCAATCTTGTACAGACTTGTCTGTATGGAGTAGCAGTAGTAGAAGAAATGGCTTTATAAATTGCATGACCGTAAGATTTTCAGTATTGCAAGAGCATAACTATTCCTAATAATTATTAATAACAAGACAAAGCTTAAATTTCTGTAACATTATATCAAAAATTCTAAGCTACATCATTTCCATGTGATAATAATCTACCACATATAATCATGCATGAGGAAATAAACTGTATTATTTCATGAAGTAGTGTAACCTCTTTGAAACTGGACTGTGCTCAGGCCTGTATGTTCTATTTTATGCAAATTCCTATGTGTTTATTTATTAGTCTGTTTGTTATCTTCAGAGATCAAGAATTCAGATTTGGCTTTATGAACAAGTTAACATGAGGATTGAAGGACACATCATTGTAAGTGTTTAGACTACAAAATTAATGTTTGTCTGACATTGAAGTTAGATTGAAGTGCTTGTGCAATATTTTTGCCCACAGCTTCCAAGGGTATTTTCCACAAGAGGTGAAACAAGCAATGTGTCATCCAGAACTGTACTTTTTATTCATTGCTATACAGATGGTCAACCATTTTTGTTGTATACATGTGTGAATATATTTTATGAAAGGTCCACTAAGCTTCTGGACATGAAACACAATTGACTCATTCCAATTCCAGTAAATTTCCACAGATATTTCTTTTCCATCAAAACAATGTGTGACATACACGTGTACAGTAATACAAATAAGGAAATCTAGATAGCCTGTGTGACTTGATAAAT